AGGAATTTCAGCATCTAAACATAATGGTCTGAGCTTAATTTTACCAACAGGATGGCATGTTCTACAGAAGAGGTTCAACTGCAACACACCATTAAAGCCAGCAATAGAGCACTTCTTGTCAACACTCTTGGGTGATTTCTCAAGCTGCGCAATGCCACACGACATTATCTCCCCTAAAGTTCACAAATAGCTCTAAAATATTACGAAGCAACTGCAGTCACTACTACTTTTTCTCACATGCTACGTTTTCTTTCAGCTAGTCTTGCTTTTCTGTTGGAGCTACTCAAGAGCCTGAGTAAAACGTCTTACTGTATTCAACTGGAAATGTATGCTTTAAATGAAATTTCTGACCAGTTTACTTGAAATTCAGACACGTTACACTGCTGCAGCTCCCTGCCATCTGACTTTCAACAATCCAAAAGAGACATTTATTTGAGGGAAGGAGGGATAGTAGAAGCACGCTGGGTCCATCATCTGTCTTATTAATGAAGTATGTTTCTTCAAAGTCAGGATACTTGCTCAGATTCTTGATGCTGAGGCACAATTAATTTTGAGCCTGCTTAGTAAGTTTTTTCTGGTTGATTGGTAGTTATTGTAAAATTTACAATTGTAACTGTGACCTTAAACAGTAACAAAACATGTGTTTGACAGTCCAAAAGATGCTACTTTTATATTTGCCAGATACCTATGAAAAAAGGTACAACAGAAAATTACAATAAAATAATTTCAGGCTTGCAGTAATTTGTTAGAATACTTGCTAAATTCTAACAAGATTTCTACACCCTTAGCTACCTAGCTATTTTTATTTTCTCCTGTCATTCATTTTGTATTTCTCATTTTAGTTAGGGAAGGACACATGAAGCCTCCACAAACAGTTAAACATAATTTCACACCAAAATGATGGAAACCTCTGTGCAAAATGGGACAACTGCAAAATGAGAAAGTTGACCTTTAAATTAAGGATATACTCCTTGCCAGAGGCTTGAGGCCTCGGACTGGGAAAGAAATTTCAAAGGAAAAATAAAACAAAGGATGAAATTTTTGTTTTGAGATTTCAACGCACTTTGCAATTTTTACAGTAAGCAATTTTTGAGTCAAAAAATATTTAGGACTCTCAGTGAACAAGGGATACTGAAAATTATTTATTAATTTGCTACTGCGTAAAATATACTTGTTCCTTTGTTTCCTCTCTTCTGTATTTTTTTATTTCAAGATACAGGTCCTGTGAGTGCAAATCATAACGGACACACTATGTAACGAGCACATCTTCCAGCCACAACAAATAAAATCCAAGAGATCTCTTCTGATATTTTGAATCAAGCAC